TATATTCAATTCCACACACTTTTGTCAGTGTCCTGCAAAAGGAGTTCAGAGTAGTTGTGAGTGCCTTGTAGTCCCATAGCATCTGGGTTACTGCCTCAAGAGCATACTACACAAAAAGAACCATATTTTATGATTTGAATTGCTGCCTCAGGGCCATACTACACAAAAAAAAAACGCATATTTTATGATATCAATTGCGCTTTCTAGATACGACAGCTGGTTTGAATCTAACTCTTTCTGAGATATCTGGTGCACCTCGTTACACAGACTGGTTCTGTAGTTCTGTTTGAACATTAACTACATGTCCCGAACATCTCCACAAACTTTGTTTTTGTTCTTCCTCTTTCTCTTTCTCTTGCCCGTATAAAATTCACCAACAGCACCCAATCAGCTACCGGGCCAAATGCACAGAGCTTATATCCTCCCAGCTTCAGTTGGGGCCATAGTCCTCAAAAGTATATTGTTTTATTCGGAGATCGAGTCCCTGACCAACCTTAACCGGTAGAGTTCTGCCTTTCAATTACTATCCATCACTTCATTCCCGAAGTTCGAACTTCTCGCACACACGTGTGCACCGTATATCTCCTAGTCCACCACGCCTGTATATTCACCCCTCACAAGCCACAGCCTATGCCTGCCGCCTATGTATCTCCCTTGCCATGTCTATGTAGGTACGTTGTTTTGCACCAGGGCATACGCTGTTGTACTCCCTAATCGTTTCATTGACAGCCTTCAGCGCGTCTTCATCCTGCTGTGTCGGGCTGTTCTGCGCCAATCGCGCGCGGAATTGCGCCGTCTTCTCGTCCACTTTTTTGGCCAGGTGTACCCATTTCGGGACAAATCCCGAATTTTTCAGGACCTGCCAATTGCGATGCGATTTCAACAGTTAGTAGGGTGTTATCTGTCGTGCTGTATACCAATGAAAGCCAATTGTTCCGAGGGTCAGCCAATCAGAAATCAGGAAAGACGTTGAACAGGCATGTAGCTGTTTCTGATTGTGACTGTGTGTATCGAAGTAGCTAGTGTATTCTACCCGCAGTTCCCGCTGATCTCGGCCACCAACTGAGCTACACTTAACACGAGGGAATCTGCCTTACGTTTACGTAGTGCGTCTTATAGTCTGTTTTCTATTCTTTTTTCGGTCTTCTTTGCACTGTCATTAGGTACTGGAAAGTCCATACAATTACAACACACAATAACGCATGCATAATCGGATGCATAATCGTATTTTTACGTATATACAGACGAGCAGTGACAAGTTGGCCTATGCTCCGATCCACACACGCGTGTAAAGCAAAGGCATTTTATCCCTTCAGTGACACGGAAGCTTATACTTTTATAAAGCCTAAAACCCAATGAGTCATATGCACATGTACCGACATGTAAACCGTCGCACGTTCATATTTCCGGAACTATATGCGCTAAACAGATAAAAACTGTAGGACCGAGGACAGAATCGTATACTTCATTGGGTATCATCCACACACATGCATGCACATATAGCACAGACTATTCGAGCATACCTACATTATAACAGATATTCAATATACACACATCTCACAGCTTATGTGCAAGGTAGTCGGGGCGTATACACTTATATATTGTACATACATACATATACATATACATATATATATTTATACATACATACACACACACACACACACATATATATAT